AGTAAGGTGCACCTTAAGGACATCCCAAAACAGTCATGTAACTTAATTTTTAACAGCCCCTGATAGACTTTTGCCTCACATCTTTATTGAACCCAGATTTTGGTAACCTGTTGCTTTTATTTAACACAAAGTCCAAAAAAGAGGAGGACCGCTTTGAACTCTATTTGGAAACAATCCCTACCAGTCCTTTCCATTTTTCTCATCCCTTCCTCCCCACAAAGGTTATTTCTTCGGGATGGCTGTAAACAAGAGTCATGGGGATAGCAGTTTTGTGTGTTTTGGCTTTTCAGAAGGCTATGCAGGCAAAAGATCTCAGTGCAGTTTAGGGAACCAGCAGTGGTATTGGCATCATGAGGCTGAAAAGTATTTTCTTTTTCAAAAACTACGTATGTTCTCACTTACTCTGTTTGCTTGCTTTCATAGAAGAAAATGATTCATGATTAAAGGGGAAAAAAATCCTTCTGTGACTGTATAATTAATAGAATCCATGCACGGAGAAGCTCCGATTACACACTCAAAGCTCAAGACGGGCACGTCTTTCTCCGCTTTTGGTCCAGCAAGACTTGTGTGCTGCTCCTGCCCTGCTGAAACGAACAGCTGAGGCTGATGCACGTGCGCTTGCCTACCTGAAAGAGTGGACCAGGTCCAAGCAATTCTTCCGCTACCATAGCCAGGTCTCCAAGAGAGTACCCGACTAGCAATGTCACGGTCTGTCACCTGCCCACCCAGAGCTCCACTGCACACGTCTCTGCGCACCAGCTCAGCGATTACAGCTATTTAAGACTATACGAAGGGATGTGCGGGGCTGAACTTCATACTCTGGCTGTAACCACCCTTCAGGAGCAGCTCAGACTCCCTCACAGACTGCTGTTCTACCTAGGAGAAAGCCACTAGGAATTTCTTTCCTCTGGACTATCCAGGTAGGATCACAGGAGACGACAGAGCAGGTTAGACAGGGTAGACGGTTGATGGATTAGCACACAAACATGAAAACAGAATTTTGTCACAGCATGAAGGCATGTATCAAAGAGCATATTACCCAGTAACTTAGGCTTTTAAGAAACCAGAAGAAAACAGGGTTCTGGATGTTTCCGTTTGGCAGACTGTATTTCACATTTTGGGCAATAATCACAGAATAACAGACTGGTTTGGGTTGGAAGGGACCTTAAAGACCATCTAGTTCCAACCCCCCTGCCATGGGCAGGGACACCTTCCACTAGACCAGGTTGCTCAAAGCCTCATCCAGCCTGGCCTTGAACCCTTCCAGGGACGGGGCATCCACAGCTTCTCTGGGCAACCTGTTCCAGTGCCTCACCACCCTCTCTGGGAAGAACTTCTTCCTGATATCTAATCTATTCATAATGGCCCCTCTGTAATTCTTTCAGCCAAAATCATCAGACCAGCATGCCAAAAATCAAACTTAAAAATCCAGATTTAAGCAGCTGAATCAAAGTGTCTTGCTTTTCTCAATTTCTGTTCAAAGAGTTAGACGCCTGACAATGCAACAAGAGATGAAGATGCCAATATTTGAAACATATTTCCCACAATGAATGAGTGAGAAGCTTTTGTAAAGAGAAAAGACATGAGTGAACAAATCCATACGGATTACATACATGTTTATCCTTCACAAAGGCTGTTATGGAAATTTAGGTTGCTTTTTATTAAAGCTTAAGTATGAGATGTTTGCTGCTAGTGACTACACAACACTACGGTCAAAAAGGGTGACTACTTACCAATAAGGTTGATTAAAAGGAAAGTTACGCTCATCGAAACTGTCTTATCACTTCTCTGTTTGCGTGTACACACGGGTACAATAAACTGTCAGCTGCTTGCTGGGGAAATAATTCTAAAAGGATGCGTGCTTTTGACAACGTCACCAAAGCATAAGAGTAAGCGGCTCTTCTTTCGGTAGGAGACACAGCGGTCATTGCTTCATTGGTATGTTCCATCTATACTGTGCCAGTTCTGAAAGGGGTTTTTAAATTTCGCTTTCAGTAGAAAAGACCTATCACCGTTTTTCTCGAATCTTCAAAGCATCTCCAACCAATCACAAACTCTTCTTCTGAGGATGAGCCCCATTTGCGTATTTGCACGTAGCAACTGAGGAAACCAGCTTCTGAAATTAAGACTAATTGTTTGTACGACAACTTGTACTTGCGACTTCAGGGTGTAATTCCTTCTGCGGGAGCTGGGAAAAGCTCATGAGAAAGAGCACCACCAGCAAGTAAGGAAATCCCTTTGGGCAGACTGTAAAAGCAGCTGGCTTGTCTGGAAGCAGAAGTGTGAAGTTCTGGACCAGGAAGAATCAAGTCTGCAGCATCACAGTTGCATTCTAGTCAAGGGGCTGGCATAACACTGCATTTGGGGGGAAAAAACCCCAGCGTACACAGTCCCACGACTGAGGACTGCAGTGTAATACGTATGTGCAAGGTGAGTGTCAGAGACATCCTGACTGAACAGGTGTTTTTGAGTTGCAGTTGCATTGCTTCCATGACGACATGGTTTTACATGAGGTATTTCTCAGAAACATGAAGTGACATGGGAGATGGAGTAAAAGAACTGCAACACGTAATCTCCAAGTTTCCCTGAACCCCCAGCAAAACAGGACGTCTGGCCAACTACCAGCAGCAGCCCATCCCCTGAAATTCAGGAGCAGTACAGAGATTGTTTGGCAGCAACTTCAAGTCTGCGGTACCGTATTTCACCCCTTCAGGCCTTAGTACGTAGTTCCTAGGGAACATTCCATCCAGGTCTCTCTACTTCCAACCTCATGAAGCATATGAAACCTTCTTAGAAATAGAAGAATCAAAAGCAAGGGAGTTTTGTGTGTGTTTTGTTGGAAGGAGGAACGGAATCCGACGTTTGTCTTGTACGAGGTCTCTACAAATATTTTTGGAGACCAGAATTTCTGCTTCTGCTAGCAGAACCAGTTGGATACAGAAATAACCATAGCAAGAACTGGGAATTGGGTTGAAAAGTAAAAACAGTCGACTCTTACCCACCCTTCTTTTCTTCTGTACTGAACTGCACAGGGGAGACACCATCACCACACTGGAAACATTTCAAACAGGAACAGAGAGATGTAGGCACCTTAATCTGGGACAGGGATTTTTCCCAGCGAATGCAACAGCCCTCCCATTCATTTTGTACCATTCCATGAGTGTGTGGTATTGACTGTCATTCCTGTGAATGTCCTGTCAACACTCTTCGTGCGTCTCAGCATATCAGAACTGTCCTTGCTCTAAGTATAACCTTCAACAATGCAGCAGCTAAAAGTAAAGCTTTAGCATCTGAAAACTGGAGTGCTGAAGTATGGAAGTTTGAGTATAAAAAACCAGAAATAAACTACAAGGTGCTATAAAGACAATTTATTTGGTAAACGAAAGGAAACCCAAAACAAACGCCGATTTTCTGACAAAACTCACCAAAAGCAAGAGCGAAGACAAATGCAGGACTGCTCACAACCCTTTTCCCTCTCCTGTGTAACACATGTTTTTCAGATTAATCACGCCAGTCTCGGAGGCTGGGGGCTTCTCATTTCAGTGTTCAATTTAACTCCATCACATCTAAAGTACAGGAGTTGGAAATACTGCTTTGAACAAAAACACTAACTATTAGCAAAACCCCAAGATATTCCAGACTGCCCCGCCGACTCGCTCTGGTGCAGCTGGCTGCCGCAGAGAGCACAGCAACTGCTGGCGTGCATTACGAACTACACCTGCCACACAGATACACCAGGCATAACAGGCACGAACCGAAGATAGGATTTTAGCTGTGACCTTCCTCTGCTGCCGAAAAGGCACACGAACATTTGTCACAATTAGAACAGCATAAAGTTCCTCTGCCCTGGCACAGAAATCCTGCTAAATACAGACTACAGCCCGTCAGCGCACAACGACAGGTACCAGAAAGTCCTCGGAAGTGTTCAGGGTACCCTTTTCTAAGGAGTCACCAGTATGAAGGGGCCAATTCTGCCCCTCTCACACCAACCGCTCGCGTGGGGGCAAACGGGCCGTGCAGATGGATAGGCACACACAGAGGCACATCCACCTTGCCTACGTTTAAGCTCTGTGCGTGTAATATGGAGGTGGGCACTGGAGAGCTGCACCAAAAATAAACATAGCCCTCAGGGCTACACGGCTTCCACACCTCCACCTACAGCGCGCAGATGTACCCTTAGTCTATCAGACGGATTTGTCTCCTTTAAAGCTTCAAACCAATTAGGTGCCTTCCGCCGGAATGGCAAAAATCAGCGTGGGCACTGGTGCCAAGAGTGCTTCGTCCTCTGAAGTTTCTCTTCTGCTAAACAGATCTCTTGTCAGAGGGCCACGTCAGGCTTCTCCCCCGCTCCCCCCACCCCCTTCATTAAAACATTTTTCTATGTAATGGTGCTTTAGAGTCGAACTCCTGCCAGATAAGTATCAGTCTGGAAGAAAAAAAACTTCCTGCTTTATTATAAACCTTTGAAAAAGAATTCAAATGGCTGGGCTACAACATATCAAATTACTGTGTCTGGGCCAGCGGGCTCCCGGTTCTCTAAAAAACCCCACAGATTAGCAGACATAACCGTTCACGCTGTGCTGCGTTACACAGGATCCAAACGCTCCCGTGTTAACTGAGGCTGAAAAATGGGACTACTCAGTTTCCTGAATGGGAAGAGCAGACAATTTGCCCTATATTCTTTTTCTTTTGGCACTGCTTTATGCTTTCCCAGTTCACTGAGTATAGCTGTTAGGTTTCCTGCAAGCACGCTCAAGGCAGGAGGGTAACAAACGAATGAAACTACAACTTTAGACAGGTTTGGGATTGCTGCCCCTCCTATTACTACTTGACCAGTGTACGTAGGTAGAACGGACCGTGACCATCGCTGACAAACGTGTAAAGGGAACATGGGGCAGAGAAACTGCCCTTGCTGGCCTCTGCCCGGAAGCCCAACCAAAACCAACATCTGCAGTTTGTTCTTTCAGCAGCACAACCCTACTGAGGCACCCATCCCTACGGCTCTGTGCCAGGTCAGAGCACAGCCCAGGTACTCACAGCTTAAGGGGAATAATGGGCCAGTATTTGGGCTGCTTTTTGTCACAGTTTCTATCGAAGATAAGCTGCATGGCAGCCTCCATTGCCTGGATTTTGGCAGCTTCATCACCATACAGCTTCTTCATTTCTGCCATTCGCCTCTCCCCAGGTCTTTCTGCAGGTGGCTGCACAGAACGCTCCGTCCTTCTGTGAAGGTCTTGATCAGCCTCCACGTACTGGTACTCAGCCTCCAGCTCCTGCTGTCTCCCTAGACAAATAAACCACAAGAGATGGAAATTACCATCTATCAGCCAATCATATTTTGGTTTAACTTTTCAAATATTACATATTCACATTTGTGCTGGGTCTAAAGGGCCAAGATCCACACATTCTAGGGACAGTCAACTCCTACAACTTACACAACAAATCACATATTGGTCATCCTGCTGTGCTCATTGCACATAATGACAAATTCCTACTAAGCAGCATGATAAAGTCAGGCTGGAAAAAGTGGGGAAAAGGGAAGAAGATCCTGGAATTGAATGCTGAAACTGCAGAAAACCTCAGCATTAGTAATAACAAGTAAAAATCAGCATTGCTTCATTTCTCTCCAACTTACACACACCCTGAAAAGAAAAACAAACACCACAAACACCAAAACCCCACAAATCAACCCACCCCCAAAACCCCATCCCTAACCTGAGCCAGTTGGTTTCCAAAGTCGTGACTTAGCAGCTGAGATAAGGAAACAATGCACAGGACACGGCAACTTAAGCTGAACCATGGGCAAGAGAAAATGTAACGAGTTACTACTCCATGAAAATGAACAAAATGGTCTGTCACGTAAGTGTCTGCCATTAAGTGCATCCAACAAAATGCAGCTGTAAGCACCGTGTTTGGACAAACTAGCCACCCTCATCCATTCCTCCAGACCTGCAAAGTTCAAAACTGACAGCCTTCCTGCTATTCCTTTAAAGGCAAAACAAAACAGCACCCAACCCAAATCCCTGCACCATATCTTTTAAAGATGATTTAAAATCGTTCAGAAAGGTGAAACGTGTCAATCAATTTGCCATCAAAAATCCTCCTTGGTAAGCCAAATCGAGAAGCAGGAAGTTGATTTTACACGCCCAAACATACCTCCTTTTCCTGGGTGCTGCTCCGATGGATAACAATGTTCCATGCAGTTAAGATAGTAAAGTGCTACACAAGACTCCCCTCTTAGGGGGACATTTCTACATGATGAAGAAAATCATGTGGTAGTTGTTAAACTCCTTCATCTACCAATAACAAATGATGCATCTCAAAACTGCATCACCGAAACAGTTCACTACTAGTAAGAGCACAAACAAAACACCAAAAGGGAAAGTTTCCACAGCTCAGGATGTGTCAGTCACATACAGCACACGTTTCTCAGTGTACCTCTTCCCTTCCTTGCCCAAGCTGAGATCTAGCTTTCACAAAACACACGACATCTGCAAACCCTAACCCAAAGTTAAGCATCCTGACACATCTGTGTCAAACATCTGCAGTTTATTTTTACACTGGAAAATACTGTACAGAGCCACCAACTGACTGTCTGTCAGCCTCACTAAATGAATTATCCCTTGTACCTCAACCACAGAAAACAGATATTTTAAACAGCATAATCAGAAACTTCAATTCCAGCATGTTTGTATGAGAGGGACACAGAAAGCTTTTGTCCTGCCATTTCAAACGCCATCCAGTTTTGTGTTGGTAGCTGAAGGACAGGACTACTCAAGAGCTTATTAGAAATCTTCTCCAGAGAGGCATTTCACTTTCTGTGATTTTGCTTTAATGGCGCACCCCCAAAGTGTGCTGCACTGCCAGGATTCGAGTCCATGTGTGTTTCTGGAAGAGTCAGATTCATTTGGTGTCAGGCCATTTTAAGCAGAAGGTCTGAATAAAGCACTAAGGCTGCCTACAGAAGGCCGAGCACTACAAGGACAGGCTACAGCACCAAGGTTATGACTACATAGGTCACTTGCATCCCAACAAAACAAACTGACTGGGACACCAGTGTGCCCACAACTGGGTAATGTGCTTCGAAGCATGAATTGGATGCAAATTACACTGAACAGCGTTATATAGAAATCTATGCTGGAAAACCAATGTCTCCCATGGTAGGTTACATGGCAAAACTCTGTCAGGGCAATGAATTGAACTCATTTATAGACTCACAGAATAACAGAATGGTTTGGGTTGGAAAGGACCTTAAAGACCATCCAGTTCCAACCCCCCTGCCATGGGCAGGGGCACCTTC